TTGATTCCCTCAAAGATCAAGTTTTTTCGCTTGGACTGTGCTTCCAGATGCTCCATTTTGTCCGTTATAGTTATTAAACTCTCACACGTTTTGTAGACATCATCCTTCGTTTCCTCGGTTTGTGTTTTCTGCTCACCCATGGCAGCTTTAATCACATCCACCTCTCGCTGGGTAAACTGCAAACTCGTTTTTATCTCCTGTATTTCTCTGGTCATGTCGTCAAATCTCTTGTTGTTTGTCTCCATAATTAGTTGCACAAAGCCTTTGAAGCTTTCCTGCTGTTGGTTCAACAGCGCAATGTACATCTCTTTCTCATGATCCACGATGTCTTTTACTTGTGCCGCTCTGTGATACATTTCTTCTGCCTCAGTCCCTTCTGATTTATTAGCTCTTTTCCCTCTTTGAGGCATTTTAGTAGTTGTAAAGTATGCTCAAAGACTTGAAATGTAGAACAGACAAGAGGAGCAGTAAAGACATCTGCTCTCACTTGCAACCCGGAAAAAAAAGTTGGAGCTAGAGAATACAGTATTTGACCACAAAAATGACTTAAATATTCTTTGGTTATCAAAATAGTTCATAAATGAATCTGCTGTCAATCCACTAATCAATTACTCACCCACAGATTATTAGTGGTTTTGAAATGATTTTAGGCTGAATTAACTGCAGCAGCTGTTATTTAATTGTCATTAATGTTGACTAATTCATTGCAATGTCTCTCATGAATAAAACAAATGCTGCTTTGCAAACCAGATTTCACAGTTTTATGCAGAAATATTTCATGCACTGCTCAAAACTGCATCTGTGAATGAACCTGGGAGTGGAGGAACTCCTGTTATGCCAGTGGTAGACGTGCTGTTCAGTACTGTATTGTACCATACACTCCTCTGTCCCATGCTGTATTCGTGTCAGTGATGTACAGTACCAATTCTCCTACAGCCCAGAATCTGGTTGCAGCCAGTGACACTGCTGCAGTCTGCCCATCCTCTCACACACTTTCTGTTTTTGCTTTTCGTTGATTTATAACTACAGTATACCTGTGTATCTCCCTCTCTGCTTCTATACTATACTCCATGTTCCCACTGCCTTCCCCTCTCCCTGACTCTGAATCCTCCTCCTCCGCTCATCTCTCCTCACTCCTGCAGTTTGTGACTCTGCACGCATCTTCATCAACCCCAGCACAATGCTGAGGTCGGGCCGTTCCCTCCTTTATATACATACAGTCCTCTAGAGCAGCCTATCAGCTGTATATTGTGCATGTGCTATGTATACACCTGCTGCCTGCTTACAAATAGCACCACATCAATAGCTGTTGATTGAGATGCGGCCGGAAACATAAAGCTGGGTCATATAAATGCAGAACGTGAAAGACAGACAGCAGAAGACACTTGTCTGTGACTTGTACAACAGCAAATAATGTCTGAAACAATCACTGCAGAGAAGGAGATGATTAACTAAACAAATAATGTGTAAAAATAAATGTAATAATGAACATTATGGCAGCACGGTGGGGCAGTGGTTAGCTCTGTTGCCTCACAGCGAGAAGGTTCCGAGTTCGGACCCCACCCGGGACCTTTCTGTGTAGAGTTTGCATGTTCTCCCCGTGCTTGCGTGGGTTCTCTCCGGGTACTCCGGCTTCCTCCCACAGTCCAAAGACATGTAGCTTAGGTTGACTGGTGACTCTAAATTGCCCATAGGAGTGCATGCGTGTGTGTGGTTGTTCGTCTATGTGTTAGCCCTGCAATGGATTGGCGACCTGTCCAGGGTGTTGCCGGCCGGGTTTTATTTGATCATGTTAAATAATTTGCGTTTTGTTGAAATTTTATTTGTTTAGGTGTGTGTTTGAAATTTCAGTATGTACAGTGAAGGAATGAAGCACAGAAGGTGAAAAGAGTGAAGGAAACTGGATGCAACCAGTATCAATATCCAGTCCACCCACTCCGTGTGTGTGTGTGTGTGTGTCTGTGTCTGTGTGTGTGTGTTCCTGCACGTAGGTGGGGGTGGTGATGGGTTGCGTTCAGTCCCCTCCCATCTGGCTCTGTGAAACAGACTCAGTCATTAGAGAGAGAGAGGGAGGGAGGGGTTAACAGCTGTGAGGTAGGAGAGAGAGATAGCACGGTACTCGCTTGTTACCTAGAGGGGGTGGCAGAGCAAGGGAGAAAGGAGGCAAGAGAGCTGCTGTGTTATGTATCACTGCTGGTGACCACCAGCACACAGCAAACTGACAAGGGGGACGAGTACGGAGGGCGAGGCTGCTGCTGCTGTAACCATGGCGCAGCCGTCTCCGAGCACATCTCCAAGTGCCCGTCGCCGTAGCAATGGCTCAGTGAGAGAGTGTCTATTCTTCCCTGTTTCTGAACGCAACGAGCAGGAGAGGCTGGAGGTCCTGGTCCGCCAGAGAGCTGGAGGTGCTGAGAGAGAAGGAGGAGGAGAGGCCCGGAACCACCTGGACAACAGGCCCAAGCGATGGACATGGGGAGGGCCGCCTGATGGAGCTGAGGGTGAGTACGACTGCAGGTGGAGGTTTGGTTGATGAGGTAATGGGACAAAGAAGGAGAACGATCAGGATGATGTCATTAGAGGGTTGGTTTGAGAACTGGGTAGACCACACGAGTGGATGCTGATGGGGGCGGGGGTGGAGGAGAAGAGAGGAGAGGTGTTTTGGGGAGAGGGCCTGGAGGTCAGGGGGAAATGGAAGAGGGGGATGGTGGGATGAAAGGGTGGGGACGTCAAAGCAGAAGCGTGAGGCGAGGGCAGAAAACGACTGAGGGTAAAGGATAAAGAGAGGAAGGCGAGGGAGAGGAGGAGAAATGATTCAGTAAAAGAAAGGAGAAGGGCAATGGATGGAAAAGGGTGTGGAGGCTGCAATGCAGGAGCTGCTCAGTGCTTTGTCTCTGAAGCCCAGGAGAGCTACAAAACACTCGGTGTGTGTTTACAGTCACGGACGCATCATGTGTGATCAACCGTTCTAAAAGTTGAGGTTGTGAACAGGTGTTTGCTGGTGTAAATATCTCACACTGTCAGTATGTATTCTGTTTTATGTCTGTGCTGGGAAGCACGTCTAATTCCCAGAAGAGCAGGAGTTATACAGCTAACAGCATGCACATCTAACCACGCACATCTAACCACCCGCCCGTGCATCTAACAACGCACATTTAATATGCCAGCACCCGTCTCTCTAGTTCTTTTTTGTCGTGTCACTTCCTCCTTGTCTTTGCCAAAATATTCCTGCCGTCATGTTGGAGGCCAGGCAGGAGGCCAAATACGTAACCAGCTGGGCCCGAGATTCTGTGGTGCATTCACAACACCATCAGTTCTTCACAGTAACCAGGCCATCGTGGCACCGACCTGGGTGCAGGGCCCACCCAGCAGCGTGTTTGGGTCCAGCCCAGCCCTCTGGCAGAACGCTCACTACAGCAGAAACAGCAGCATCTCATTTTACAGCTCCACTCGATAAAAGGACCCAGAGTCGCTAAAGATGCAAAGTGTGTTAGGCTGTGTATTTGTTTCTGTATAGAAGGCAAATCTGGGCGCTGATAACCGCTGCCTTTTCTTTGTTGGTCCAGTCGAA